GGCTGTTACGATATGGTCGAGCCAACTGCGCACTACAAGAGGGTTGTAGTTGCTAAATTTGTTGGTGCAGTTAAAAATTGTATAGAAATAGTAAAAATTGTGACCCGACTTGACTAAACATGTTTTTTTTTTTTATTTCAGCCTATGTTACTGGCTGATTATTTAGCTATCTATCATTATTTCAGCCGTTAACTGTCCACTGCTGAACATAAGCCTTTCCCATAAAGGGTGTTTTGCTAGTAGCCGCCATGTTTGGTAGGCGGGTAGGCAACCGCAGTTTTTTAATGGGTGCAAATGGATTGGTAACCCCGCCCGCGCTATTGGTATACACCGACGGGGCACCAGTGGAAGATGATAGGTGAGAATGAATGCAGGTTAGTTGGCCCATTATGATGAATTCATCAGGAATTAACCATGATAGTTTCCAGGGGGAACCGCGACGATGTCGACCTGGTTGGGTATATTACTAGCAATGGGATTCTCAGTCTCCATTACTAACAATCCCTTTCCCCCAGGCAACCGCAGTTAGGCTTATCAATCTAAAGTATCACCTATAAAATAAATGCTATAAAATAACCGATTAGTTGAATTGGCTGAAACTTGTTCTATTATATTTATTTATTTAATTCTTTATTGCACACACCAGTTATTTATAAGAATGGGACAAAGGTAACCAAATGTACAAAGGCGAGCTTAACTCTGATAGAGTTCTCTTCCAGCAACACCCAAAGTGGAAAGGAGCATCAATGTCAGAGGGCTTTTTTTTTAATGGATGATAATGGAATCGTTACCCCGCCTGTGCTATCGGTATACACTGGCGGGGCACCAGTGAGGGATGATAGGTGAGGACGAAGCAGATCAGTTAGCCCATCGTGACGAATTCAACAAGAATTGTTCACGATGATTTCCAGGGGGAACCACGAGGAGGTCGACCTGACAGGGTATATTGCTAGCAATGGGGCTACTAATCCCCATTATTAACTCCAAAATTAATCCCTTCTCCCCCCCCCCCCCCCCAGTGTCAGCAGGTTGAGCGGTGTACATATATTGTGACAATTATAGGTACGTATTGATTGTCAAAAGTTCCGTCTACTCATACGAAGTCTGGTCGGATCGCTAGTATAATTTTAAACCTTTGCTAATGCTACTTATCATTTGGACAATTAGGTAACTTGTGTCGATTATTGCAGCATACAATTGTCAGATTTCCTTTATCAACAACATGGGGCGATAAAAAAATGAATGATTGTTCCGATTATCAAATCTAATGATTATTTTTAGTTAAAGAGCAAATTGTTTTTATTAATAACACAGTACATAAATAAAATTGTAATATAAATCTGTCGTACGGCGACGGAACAAGAAAACAGTGGATGGCAGTGTTTCGGTTTGAAGGGTGGGATATGGCGTGAATTTGCTGGGTACAGAGGAACAGCACCTGAGTCCTTAGGAATGGCAACGCATGGGGGGTATCATGGGCGAAACAGTATACTCTGTTATGTCTATGGTACTGCTCATGCCTATAGGCGACAGTTACCACTTTCCATCAGGTGGGCCGTCAGCTTGCTTGCCATTCTAAGTTGTATAAAAATAAAATTATATTTTTCAAAAATAACTAAAACAGCCATGCAAACCCCGGTATAGAATAGGCCATCCCTTCCGTTCCCCTGGGTGTCGTAAGAGGCGACTAAGGGAACTTAGTGTTAAGGGATAAGCAGTAGTGTCTCTATTAAAACATCACTAAAGCCTAACTGTGTTTGCCAACCCGCCTGCCAAGCATGGCAACAACTGGCAAAATCCCCTATACACCTGTACCTTGTCCACTGCTGAACACAGCCTCCGAACAGCCGAATTGAGAACCTGTTTCCTTTTGAAGCCCAACGGACAAATTTACCGAATTTAAAAATGTCATTTTCAGCATGTACGACCTCTGCCCAAGAGCGGTGGTACTTTTACCTCGTAAATGCCGATTAATGTTTCCGAAATATAAAAGGAATCATTTCAAAAAAAAAAAAACACTGTAGATACAAATTATATTATCTATACTTATAATAAATCTGTAAAGAGGTCAATTCTGTACATGAAATATATTTCCAAAATAACTATCAGCGGGTGATTAGTGATCCATACTGATGCCAAAAATGCATCCAGTAAAAATTTTGTCTGTCTGTCTGTATGTTCGTTATAGAAACAAAAACTACTCGACGGATTTTAACGAAACTTGGTACAATTATTCTTCATACTAATGGACAGGTTATATTATACTTTCCATCACGCTACAATCAATAGCAGCAGAGCAGTGAAGGGGAATGCTGGGAAAACGGGAGAAGTTACTCCATTTTTAAGCTTCCGTCGCGTGTGCAGCCTTAATGGCCACTTTTTAAAATGTTGTAAAAATACCCGTGCGACGCCGGGACGGGCCGCTAGTGGATAATATTTTTGACTTCAAAAACGGAGGAGGTCCTTATTTCGATAACATCTTCTTCACGTTCATTAATCAGATGCCTCGTAATTCCGTCAGTTACGAACTGATTTGGAAAATTCATTTTTTATCTGAAAGAATATACTTTTCGATTCGTAACATAGAAATTTTATCAAAATCTGTTCAGTAATTTAATATTTAAATCGAAACAATTGATTTTTCCAAAATTGAAATCGTTTTTTTTTGGGAAATTCTACGTAATGAGAAAATGACTATTCAAAAATGTTAAAATCTAAGTTTGTTTTAATAAAAAATATTTCTTTCTTAAATTATAGCGTTAAATATGTTCTTATATGTTTTTTTTAATGGGTGATAATGGAATGGTAACCCCGCCCGCGCTATCGGTATACACCGGCGGGGCACCAGTGGAAAATGATAGGTGAGGATGAAAGCAGTTCAGAATGGCCCACTATGATGAATTCGACACGAATTTACCACGATGGTTTCCAGAAGGAACCACGTGGAGGTCGACATGAGAGGGTATATTGCAAGCAATTGGGCTATTAGACCTCATTACTAACAATCCCTTTTCCCCCTGTACCTATATGTTATCACTAAGTTGTAGGGGGAAGGCATTGTTAGTAATGGAGTCTAACTGACCCATTGCCAGCAATACACCCTATCAGGTCGACCTCCACGTGGTTCCCCCTGGAAACCATGGTGGTTAATTCTAGTGCAATTCGTCACGATGGAATAACTGACCTGCCTTTTTATCCTCACCTATCATCCCACACTGGTGCCCCGCTCGCCAGATAGCGTAGGTGGGGTTATTCCATTATTACCTATTAAAAAAAACTACCTATGTTGTTTCCAGTTTTAAATCAAATAATAGTGTAAATAAATTTAATACCAATTCTAAGAATATTTTTATCAGTGACGCAAATTAAATAAATACCTATTTTTGTACTACATTCAAACTTTCATCATCATCATCATATCAGGTGTTGACTGTCCACTGCAGAACATAGGCCTCCCCTGTAAAGACAGTTTTGCCAGTGGTCGCCACGCTTGGCGTGCGGGTTGGCAACCGCAGTTAGGCTTTCGTGATCTTTTAAAAGGGACGCCACTGCCTATTCATCGGCCATTAAATTCTCTGAATCGCCTCTTTCGACATCCACGGGAAAGGAAGTGGTGGCCCATTCTATGCCGGGACCACATGGCTACTTAAAATCTACCACCTACTATAAATATGTATTATAAAAGTAAGCTTGTTTGTTTGTTAACTTATAGCGCCTTAAAGGTTTAACAAATAACGATGAAATTTAATTTATACCTACTATACAAGACGGAGAACGATCAGCGAACATATCCTGGCCACGTGGACGAAGTCGTAGGTGGAAGCTAGTCTATTATAAATATAAAAATTTGTGTATATATTTGTATGTTTGTAAGTGTCAAAACAGATATGAATTCACGCGGGCAAAGTTGCAGAATACTGCCAGTACTTACCTTTCTTTTTATACCACATAAGTGGCAAAGAAGCATATAGGCTGTCTGATGATAAAGGGTCACTATAGCCTACAAACGCTAGCAACACTAGGGGTGACACGTGCGCGTTGCCGACCCTGAAGTAATCTTAATATACCCTTTATGAAAAACCTCATAATCTACCTATAACTAATTGGCATTTAGATTGTCTATACAAAGTATAGAATCTAATAAAAAAAAAAGTCAATTTGCGATATAAAATGATAACTACTATTCCAGACAAATTATCTTTTTGAAGACTAGGCAGCATGGTCTCCGACCTTAGCCTGTTCCAAACGGAACAAACGTACTAAAAAAAAAAAAAAAAATGATAACTACTGTTTGTTTCAAGTCAACTTTTAGAAATATGATTTGATATCTTGAGCTCTTATCGATCTGTTAATTTTATAGATAGGCCTAAAGTAGGTGGCACGCGGGAACTAATCAAGCGTTTACGAAATACTTTAATGTTAAATTAAACATATATACACTGATATTTACGTTGTATTACTATTTAAACTAGGAATTAGATTTGATATTTTTAATATTCTTATATGTATTGATATTTCTATCCACTCAGAGTTCTGTCTACGCACGTGTCTAAATGGATTAACTACTGCACATGATTTTTATAAAACTTTGCGCAATGATAGTTTATATTCCGAATTAATAACAATAATAGTTTTTATTTTAAATGGTAATGATAAATAAAGGTAATCTAAACAAAAATAAAGTCGATTATGAATCATATTGCCAGATTTCTTTGTTGATAACATTGCTTTCGTTGTTTAGTACCTAATATTTCCTATAGGAATATATATGAGTAAAAGAATTAAACATAATTAGATTAAAAACTATGCCACTTTGTGTATATGTTATGTCAAAGAACACATAAGTAAATTAATGTTTTACTTTTTTCTGTAAACAAAACGCAAAAGAAACGTGTTTGTGTATATTACAGTACTAAGCCGTTTGTGTACAAAGCCATTGTAGTAAACAAAATGTGCCTATAAGTACAAGGAAACATCACAAATAGTTTCTAAAAACTTACCTTTTTCAGTTAAAATCCAAACTTTCAATTATTAATTAACGCACTCAATATAAAACTTGATAATCGCACTGTAGTGAAACGTTAATGAACCGAGCCGATCAATCACCTGGCACGAACATGGTACCAATGCGACGTTCCTTCGTGAAATTATCTTATCGCGAAAAAAAAACGCACTTAATCAGTGACTTTCGATTTCCTAATTACACGTCCTTGTCAAAGTCCGACGATACAACAAAAAGAAAATCAGTTTGTATTTCGATTGTAAAATGTAAAATCACATATTATATAAATATACTTCGTTGTACAAACTTAGGCCTTTTTGGGGGGGGTTTTAAGAAAATAAATAAATAAATTATTCAACGCACTGTCCGTATACACCGGTTTTAGGATGTCGTAACCGAGCCCTATTAGTATGGGTCGTGTCGATGCGATACAAACACGCCCGTGGTCGACGAGAGACTGCCGCACTCGTTCGCCCCACGCGTCTCGAGACCCTCCCCGCCCGAGCGACATAATTTTTCAGGTAAAAAAAAGAACAAAAGCCAAAGATAATAATGATGTTTGTTATCTATTTGGCGACAGATTTTTTTTCTTCATACCTGACAAAATTAGTAGTTGGCCCAGTGTGGGCGCACAATAGCCGCAATTATGGTAGGTGGTCCCGAGAAATTGTTCGCATTGTTCGTTGGACTTCTCAAGTTCTTTGTTTCAGTGGATTGTTTGTCGTATTATGGTTGCTACAAGCTCAGTTGTGGATAATTTATATACCTAGTTTTTTTTTTTTTATTTAGTCAATTTATTCATTACAGTTTTTATCTTTTTTTTTAATTACGATGGTTTACTACAGCATAAATAATGGTACTATTTTGGATACTTACGCCATTAATCATAAAAACGTGACATCTTTCATAGATCTATTTTAGCTGTTGATCTGATAATGGAATGGTAATTCAGTCTGCGCTAACGGTATACGCTGGCGGGACACCAGTGAAGGGTGATAGGTGAAGATGAAAAGGCAGATCAGTTAGCCCATCGCGATGAATACATGTGGAGTTCAGCACGACAGTGTCTAGAGGGGACCACGTGGTGGTCGACATGACAGGGTATATTGCTAGTAATGGGACTAATAGTCCGCAGTACTAACAATCCCAAAAATAATAACAATGCTCTTTTTTCAAAGGTGTCTATGAAGTATCAGTACAGAAATACTGCATCTGGAGCCAACATCAAACCATGGAACCAACCATAATTGTTTTTCATGAAGAATCACGGTAACACGACCTGATCAGGGTTAATTGTTGACAATGTGGATTAATAATGGTGGTGTTTCAACCGTGAAGCAGTTGTGTTTGCATGGCTGTGTTTCGGTTTGAAGGGTGGGATATGGCGTGAATTTACTGGGTACAGAAGAACAACACCTGAGTCCTCAGGAATGGCAACGCATGGGGGGTATCATGGGCGAAACAGTATACTCTGTTATGTCCATGGTACTGCTCATGTCTATAGGCGACGGTTACCACTTTCCATCAGGTGGGCCGTCAGCTTGTTTGCCATTCTAAGTTGTATATAAAAAACAAAAAAAAAAAAGATTCAAAAATTCACAATTTGGGCGTCGAACGGTTAGTTAACCGAGACCTCGAGCAGCGATCTAAAAATTTGCCTGAAAATACCTCGCCTAAAGCACGTGTCGCAAAACGTGCGCCAACAAAATGGGAGTCGCAGATTGATAGCTAATATGAAAGGTTGTGAAAACCTATTAGTGGTTTATTTTGTGATCCTAAACTATATCTTTTTGCCCTGGTTTTCCTATGAATAAATAAATAAACTGCTGGTAGTGAAACACAGTAGATATCTAATATATACAGCAGAAACAGCTTTACTTTTGCTACGACATTGGGAACAAGGATATTCGCAGAACAATTGCCTTTTTTCAACGTTTAGAAGTATTGTTTTCTTAGAAATTTGAAACATTTAATCAATCGACAGTTTTTTTATTTGAACCATTATTGGACATCAGCATACTGTCTTATGGCTGGGTTAACTGTAGGTACGTTTGTTTATATTTTATAGTTGTATTGTAACAAACAAAAAAAAAACAATATTCTCGCAGTTCTACTAAGAATCAGAAACACCATAAATAGTAACAATATTCATGTAAAATAATAACTAATTTCAAATATTGAAATAAATATGGAACCTCAACAAATTAGGCTTTTCTTTCTTATACAGACTCACTTGATAGTAAGTGACTACCTCCGCCCATAAGCACTCCCAACATCAGACATATAACACGTGTGTTGCCGGCTTTTAAAAAAGAATATCTATATACGCGGCAGCGCACCGAGCCAAGTTTAAGAGAAAGGAATTGGCGGCGCAGCAGCCGAATATAAATGATATGAACCTTTCCGAGCTACTTTTGACTCTTAATTTTTTTAATTTCGAAGTTGGCTAGATTTTATGTATGTGCTTTATTATATTTGTCTAATCAACTTATCTTCATAAATTCATACGCAAGTTAGTGTATGTCCTGTTTGTACAGTACTCATACTACTGGGTTTATATAATACCTATGTTGCTTTCCTAACATTTGGTTTATTGGTAAACACTAGCCAAGTTAAAACTTTACATCCCAAATGAAATAAATGCATTATACCAATAATTGTCTGTTAAAAACAGCAAACATGCTAGTAGTACTTACAGACAAGAAATTGTTATTATAAATTAATTTTATAACGTTCTTGTAATTTGTAAATTTTAATATACTGGCTGTATGCTTGTTTGCTACCTTTTTGGTTGAAAAAAAATCTACACAGACTTTACCACCCATATGAATCTTAATTAATTTTTTAGCGGAGTTGACACAACACATATTCGTAATATTGAACTTGGCTCTCATTTCACATTTATGTTCTTGATGAGACGTTGTTTTCTTGAACGTTACGACGTCGTATCCGTTCTGAATAATTGTTCTCGGCTAATAATTGGCAAAGTGCGTCCTTTTAGAGGTCTGTTAATGAATACATCTTAGGCGCCTGTTAATACTAACTGAAATGTTATAAAAATAACAAAAGGATGTTTCTACTTAAATATTAATAATCAATAAAAGAAAATTTACAGGAACTGACGACAATATATTTAACATAATACCACATTGTTGTAAACAATGAAACGAAAGGAGTTTCAGGGGAGACAATAAATCTCTTTCATCGTTCACCTAATGATAATATTGTTGATGAAAGTAGCGAAACTTAATCCTTCTATTGTATTAAAAAGAAGTGAGAGTAAACATTTTTCAATAAGGGTCCGCGACGTCATATTGTAAGTACTTTTTGTGTTTTGCTTTCGCTAGCGACTTCATGTGCATGGATTTTGAAAGAATGACTACCAAATATTGAAATCATCATTGTCATATTAGTCATTAACTGTCCACTGCTGGGGGGAATGGGATTGTTAGTAATGGAGACTGAGAATCACATTGCTAGCAATATACCCAACCAGGTCGACCTCCTCGCGGTTCCCCTTGGAAACTGTCATGGTTGGGGGAAAAGGGATTGTTAGCAATGGAGTCTTACAGCCCCATATGGATATGGATTTTCATACAAGTTTTGCCGGCCGCTGCCCGCATGTATCTGGCCAGTACGGCAATTTTGATTTATCTCTAAGAAGATAGTAAAAATAATGCTCACATTTCCAAGCATGTTTGAGAAAATAAACTTTCACATTAATATCATATGTGGAATGCACACCTCTAGTCATTTACCTGATTATATTTACTTCCTTAACGTCTGTAATTCGAATCCACTATCTAATTGATATGGCACTCATAAATAGCCACTTAGCTACCGAACATCGTCGGCCATATTGTATTATTTATGGCGGCAATATCGTTACGAGACTAAAAAAAAAAATAACGAGATAATAAACACTATTTGAAATGCTTTAATACAGGTTCGAATCTTAAAAGAAATAAGTTTTTGTTAAACAATAAACTGAATTTAATATTGACAAAATTAATAGTTTTAGAAGCAATCAAATTGGGCGCTGCTGTAGATTGTTCGACATAGATGTATGTAAGATTGCCTTGGCCAGTGCACATTGATTGATGAGTATTAAATAATTTCCCGCTCTTGGATGTGAGTGCGTTCGTTGACTGTATTGTGTATGTCGATTGCTTGGGTACCTCTGTCCCATTCGCGTTTCTACCGTGAAGCAGTTGTGTTTGCATGGCTGTGTTTCGGTTTGAAGGGTGAGATATGGCATGAATTTACTGGGTACAGAGGAATAACACCTCAGGAATGGCAACGCATGGGGGGGGGGTATCATGGGCGAAACAGTATACTCTGTTATATCCATGGTACTGCTCACGTCTATAGGCGACGGTTACCACTTTCCATCAGGTGGGCCGTCAGCTTGTTTGCCATTCTAAGTTGTATAAAAAAAAGAATTTAGTGATATTATTTCACATTAAGGTATACCATTTGAACCATTTGCATAAAATCGAGTAAACAACAAAGAAAAAAAAAACACTAATAATTACTATAATAATTATTTTTTCTTTCTCTCTCCCTCTTGTCTTGTTTTTGTTCTCCATATCTACTTGTCTCGTTATTGTGTTTTAAATAATTGTATATGTATTTATTATATACATATATTTACATATACGAATAAAATTACATTCATTGAGAGGCAACCCTGTTGAAAAATTTAGAAACGATTTATTACAAAATAAATATTTTAGAAGTCCAATATAAATTTGTATTTGGTGATATGTGCAACATACAGGTGAGATTTCTGTCTAATTCGGTGGACTCTTTTAGTTTCGAGTCTTCAGTCAAATTAATGTCCCCAGAAAGTATTTTATAAAATGATTCCTTCTAGATATGAATAATAAAAAAAAATATGTATATATTTGGAGGCAATCAGCTTTTTTGGGGATTCGAAGTTGGAAGCACAGTTGTGAGGTCCAATATTGGACAGGAATGGCACTTGATAAAAATCACTCCAGTATACTATTCGATAACCTTCGAGGCTTTAGATTCGATTCTCAGTCGAGCCAATTTAAGAAAACAATATTTATTTGAGTCTTCTTACTTCAGATATCAATAATCTAGTTAAAAACTAATTAATAAAAAAAAAATAAATACTTAGTTCATGTATGTAGCTGAGTAACGAAATGCACGTTCTCAGACCGATTTTGATATTGAAAAAAAAAAATCAAATTTTAAATGGTCTCGTCCGTACGCGTACATTTTCAAATGTCATAAGTTTCACACCTGTATAAAAGACTTTACCGCCAAAAGAGAATTCATTTGAAATTTTACTTTACAGTCCAATATTTAAGGTCGACAAAAAAATGGCCAGTTTTCGACTTAGGCTATTATGTCACGGCGCGTTGTGATGGTAAATGTCATTGGTTTTGTGTAGCTAATGAAGGACATCTGAATATGGATGTGTCAAGATTTAAATTGAA